CATGCCATCAGAAAATCCCTGCTAGATTGATAGAGGGCGTGTAGAAAACCAGAAGTTTACAGGTTATTCAACCTACTTAAAAATTTAAGTAGGTAGCTTTAATACATAAGGACCTTCAAAAGACCGCTAGAGACAACCTCACCATATATTTTATGGAAAACATCGATGAAAAAATTATTTCTTGTACATGTTTGATAGCAAATTACGCGTTTTTAAAAATTTTATACTCAAATAAAGGGTAGCTTTCGGTTTTAAAAAAGTTACTCAATTGCCAAATAATTTTCTAAACTACTGACTGCTACACTCGAATTCAAGGTTTAAACACTGCGCACTGTGTACATCCTGTTAAGCGAAATGTAAATTTTCGCCTACAGTTTGAAGAAGAAGTCACATAGTAGTCATAAAATACTGAAACAGATTTGGAATATATTTTATGCAGTATAGGCAGCATTAATAAATTGACGGATGTATGATGCATGAAGACCCCACAGTCGTGAAAAAGCTCATAATTAGCAACTTTTTTAAAACCGTAAACTACCCTTTGTTTGAGTATAAAACTTAAAGAAGGCGTAATTTGCTATCAAACGTGTACAAAAAATAATTTTTCGTGCATGTTTTCCATAAAATCTATTTTAATTTATAAAGGCAGTCAAAATCAATAATAAAACGGCATACTACTTAAGTAGCCAGTTGTTACAATAGGCACCTTTTTTCTAGTGTTCAGAACTAAGCTCGTTAAAAAGCCCGCATCCTATCCTGACTGAAATGACTTCAGAATAGACTACATGATAATCAGTATCACAAATTGAGTAAATGCCGATTAGCGAAACGGTATCAGATTTTCGCATATGTCGAAATTTTGCATGATCTTTGGCGTCTACTGTGCGGTGGAATTTGAAGTGGTTATTGCGAGGTCAGCTGGTTCCCTGGCACCGGCGTTAGACGACGCGTTGGCCTGTGCCTTCTCCAAATGGCCACATGCTTTGGCCAAATTGACCCTAAGCACCGAATATGGATTGGTCAGGTTGTTGCGCATGTTTATAGACATGGGACCCGTAAACCACGACTCAGGTAACTCGCGACTCACATAATTCTCACTTCGCGCCAGAATTTCGAGTCTCATCGAATGAGCTGCAACTTGAGGAGGATAATATTGACAGTAGAGTGCCAAAAATTGGATTGCCAACGCTAAAAACGACCTCCCGGAGAAATGCCGGCAGAAAGAGAGTTTTAAGAGCACAGCGAAATACCTCATTGAAAGGAGTAACAATGAAAAAAACGCATGCTGATTGTTACTAAATAAGTAGGCAGTCATGAAAAGCGTAATATATTGGTAACGAGAGGAAGAGCAAAGTGAATTACCTCATAAGAACAGAAGGTGCACTGCTGGGTGTGATACGAGGCCCGTCAGCACCGAGTGGCATGTAAGAGTACCGGGCGATTTTAGCGACAGTTTCTGAACCGACCTCCTCCTCCTCATCCACGCGGTCCACACAACGATCCCTCACGGCCAAATTCAACTCCTTTAGAAATAAGGAATAAAGGTAAAAATTGAGAAGGATATTTTGACTTCAAGGAGGCTACCAGATGCCATCAAGCGAACAGTAAACACAAATTGAATCGAAAACGCCTTTCAGAAGCTTTGTTGAGATTGTCTATTGATAGAAGCGCACATATGAGTTTCGAGAAGCAGTTAAGAAGGAGAAGATTTTATCGCTGGTAAAGGACGTTTACTGGCCTGAGGTTTCGGATTTCCGCTCAAATCCATCATTTGTCCATCGACGAGCTAGTGGATCAGACTCGAAAATTTAAATAATAAAGTTTGTTATTCTGTCCTAAAGAACATCCTTCATCGACCTATATATATGTGCATTTTTAGATCAGAAAGGGCATGCATCCCAAGCGATATGAAGAAAGGAGGATATTCTTCGGAAAAACCAAGATTTACCTGTGCTTGTTTGAGCTGGTGACACAAGCCCGTCCTCAGAAAAAATAAATGGAGGTGGGAAAGTAATAAAGTTATAGTAGAGAGTATTAATATAAAGTGTAGGGGCAGTTTCTGTGGCAATACTGGAGTCGGGTAACTGCGATTGACGACGGCTAATGGGCCAAAAATACGCGTATCTCGCAGTCCTAAGGTACGCCAGTAATACAGGGTGTCCCAGAAGTAACTGACCCTTTTGATTTGCTAATAAAACGAAAACTATTAATGTAAGGATACTGAAACTTGTTTTATTCGAAAGAAAACCCTTTCTTGAATTTGGTGCGATGAAAA